TTTTTTTTTTTTTTGGGCTCAGCTAGACATTTCAAGTTTACATTTTACAACACACTGAAAAAAGAAAAAAGAAACAAAAGATTGCAAAAGAGCAAAAGGGGAAAAAAAGGAAGAAAGAAAGAAAATTTACAGATTAAAGACCCCCGACGAAGTGAGTCGCCAGAACTTTTTGACTAAAGATCCTTGTCTTTAATTTGCTCCATATCTTTCCTCGTCTCCAAGGCAGAGCATGAATGAAATGTTGAGTTTTCATCCCGAACAGCCACAGTCTTTCTCTTTCGGAGGTGCACCCTCACATAGAAGTTCAAGAAGAAGAGAAGGATGGCACCGTTGAGGACGGAATTGAACACCCAAGCTCCAATTCCGTTGCAGCCTCCTTTCATGAAATGCAGCAAGAGCACCCCTATGTGGCACACCAGGTTGCAACTCAGCAACACAATCTGGCAGTTGATGACGAATGGGAAGCAAGCGCTCGGCAACCCAATTGCCGTCCAGAATCGGTACCCATAGACGACCGAGTAGATCAGAGTCGTCAATAGGATGCCTATCACCTGGAACGATTGTGAGAATTCGAGCCATAGGAACGACATGCATATCATAATTGACTGGTTGAATAGCTGAAAGAATGTCAGTTTCCGACGGCGGAGGATTGTGAAGAAGGTTCGGAGCAAGTGGAGGAAGCGAGAGAGGTAGAATACGTAAGACCAGAAGAAGACTCGGCCGCTGGGTCTGGTTCCCAGGGGGAAGCATAGGAGCCACTGGAAAGGGGTCTTGGAGCGCCGCCAAAACCACCGGGTGTCTCGGATCTCGGCGGCTGCGGAGAAGAGGATCCCGAAGAAGATGACGACGGATATTAAAACCATGGAGAGACTGTGGATGGCAGGGATGGGTCCAAGGGGAACCGGGCGTCGGCGGCGGAAGAGAAGCAATACGAAGTGGAGGAAGACCGATAGGGTGATGTAGGCGGCTATGGAGGTGAATAGAAAAGACCAGGTGGAGCCCCAGGAATGGGCGTGACTCCACCTGAAACTGACGATGGCAGGATGCTCCGATAGCAAATAAATGAGGGTTCCCATCCTCGATCGATTTCTCCGGCGGTGTCGAAATGTGTAGAAGAGGAGGGAAAGATTAATCCTAGTTACAGGAAGAATCCTCCCTTGTGCGTCGAAGCATCCAGCTTTCTTCCTTGCTAGTCTTTTATTCTTTTAATTTGTGCTCCTCCGCCTCTGGAAGCAAAAAACAGAATTTGGTGGAGATGGGTTTTGTTATCACGGAGAAGAAGGAGAAAGGGAGGCAGGGAGCGTTCCAGACTCCAAATCCAGAAAACCGAAACCCTCCTCCTCCACTCAAAATGAGAGAGAGAGAGAGAGCGCGCACGTGCACGTGCACGACGGTCGAAGCCCCGAGCCCGAGAAACGAAGAATCGTTGTTAGGTTACGCGTAGTCTTCTTCTAGCTCTAAGCTGCTGTGGCCTGTGGCTGTGGGAAACAAAAGCGGGACAGTGGGGAGCGAACTGCGAACGAACGCAGGGTGCGAAGAAAGGGCATGCTCTGAGAAATGAGAATTCGATCGAGAAGCAGCGAAGCGTCCAGCCGTCCACCTTTTTTCTATTTCTGTTTTATTCTTAAATTGGGGGAGGGTGAGGGTGAGGGTCGCTCCTTTTATATATACTTAATACACACATTATTGGTATTTAGTAATTGCCTTGGTGGGTGTAGACTGTAGACTGTAGACTGTAGACGTGTAGTGTAATGTTGTTGGTCATATTGGTTTCCTGTTTGTCATCTCTACACATTTGCCACGTGGTGAGTTATGACTGGCACAACGGTCAACGAAAGACCAACTTCTTAAAGTTTAAAGACCTTGTGATTCGTGCACAATAGCACATAGACAAAAGGGTGTGCCCACCACCCGTGATATGATTTTATTTGTATTTCTTCTCATTGCACGTGCCGTGACTCCGTGAGGTGAGAAAAATCGTTTCTCATTGTGAAATGATTTGTGATTTGTGAAGGTGGTGGGGTGGGGGGTCTGGTTGGGCACATCCTCTTCTTTTTTCTTTCAAATTAATGTCGGTGGGAGTGGTGTAGTATGTGTGGTTTGGTTTATAAAAACCCAAAATCAGTTCTAATCAGCAGCCATCTGACTGTTGTTATGAAGAAGAATTACCCCCCACCCCCATCCTTGATAATAGTTTCTCGTTACTAGATTTTAATTGTTAACTTATTTGGCTAAAATCAACATTCACATAGGTGATAGATGATGTTTTAAAACTTTTTTCTTTCTTCTTTTATAAAAAAATTCAATTACCCCCCACGGAGGAGTGTGAAGGTCAGGAATGGATAAGGTAGTTGGTACCTTCTTATGCTCTGATTTTATTTGGACATCAGGAATGGATTTCAGTTATTTTGAATCGCAAATAATAATTGATATGAAATTAAAAACAACCAATCTCATTCATCTGGAGTCGTAGGGACCATTGGATTGGATAAAGGGAGTTTCCCCATACTTGAAATATGTGATGAAGATGGGAAAGTATTTTAGGTCTATACGAAATTACGAACAGAACGGTCCTTGTACTCAACACGTCTCCTTCCGTTTTCGTTTTGATGCATTAAGACTTGGGTGTTTTCCGTGGTGGACTCTACATCTCTTCTTACCCACAACACAACAATTCTGAATTCTATTTATGCAAACCCACAAAACGCTACGTACATACATTGGGAATAAGAAATCTAGACTTCTTGTGTGTTTTTGGTAAGTTAATTTTTGAATCCAGATTTCCTACACATGACAATTCTACCCACATATGGGAAATATCACATTTTTTTTTTATACGAGATATATTCCCAAATGCACGGAGGTAGAATTTTATGAATAGGCGTGGATAGAGTTATTGTTGGAGTCTTAATTTTCTCCCTTTATGAATCTTTTCTCTCTCGTTTGACCGTGATCACGTTCCTGCCTTAGTGTCTCTCATTCATTCGGTCGGTTTATCTTCCCTTTTTTTCTCTTCTTTTTCTTCTAGAATCTAATCTAAAATTACACAAGCATACCAATATACCACACATCTGCTTGCTTGTATCCACAATTTTCTTTTGTAATTTACTATAATGCCGATTTCATCTTTTTTTTTTACATGCATATCCTTAATGGTTAATATGGGTTTGACTATAATGCCGAAAGATATGATAACCAATCAAGAATTATAAACTGGTCAATTAAGTGGATTTTCATCAAATTTCATTGTGAATTTTGATTGTTCAAAGTCTTTTCCATATTATATATTTCTAGCATCATAATTTTTTCCTAATAAATATATATATATATATATATATAAAATAAAAGATCGGGAAATAAAATAAAACATACACCAAAAAGGATTTATAAATATTAATATATGTAAGAACAAGTGCCATGCACATGCACATGTATAAATAAACATTGACCATATATGATATCACGTATTTGGATTTAATTTTTGCACTTACAAGGAAATCAAAGCAAATATCTGGTATAGATAAATAATGGAGGAAGTTCATAGTTAATATACTCCAAGTTTCAAACTAGAACTGTAAGTAAGGCTCAGTTTGAAAAGAGTATAAATATAAATATGTAGAATGCAAAATCTTGTATTTTGTATTATTTTATATGTATTTATATTCATATTCTTTTCAAACTGAACCTAAAATCTCAAAACCATGGTTTTCAAAACTGGATCAGACCGAAAAAATCGGGAATCAGTCAAGTGACCGATTTCGTTTTTCCCCAAAATCAGAATTTTGCCAAAAAATATTGGTTTGGTCAGCAAACTGCTGACCTGGGTGTTCGAACCATTCAACGGTTTTGATCATTTTTATTTTTTATTTTTTTAGTTTTTATCAGAACGGGCCATCCATTCAGCTCGAACGAATAAACTATTCAACCCGAAAATCAGAACCCTAACAGATTCAATTTTAAAAACCTTGCTCAAAACCATAATTGGAAGCACAAAAGAAAAAGAACAACAGTTGATACTGACTATAGTATCATGCTGACGGTCGATAGGGATATTCCTTATTTCTTAACCTTGAAAGGAGTAAGCAAGGTGGTAGTTTGTTTGTGTATGTTCTGCCTAATTTCATGCACGAAATCATTCCGATATGTGTATCTGACCGACCAAAAATGAAATATTTCCGTCTTCTCTTCCCTCCTGCCCAGATATCTGTATCTAAACGACTAGATCTTAATTTCTCTGCAGGTCAAATGTGCTTATCTTGATTTTCTAGTCATAATTTGTTTGGAGGTCAGGTCAATTTATTTACTGTTTTGTTTGTGGGTTCAACTATTATATTACATCAGAATGAAATTCGAAAAGACAAAGATATCTAAAAAAACTCTTAACGAATTAACCAATATTATAAGCGTGGAATTAGCTAGGTGGTATCTATCAAAATTCATGGATTTTAATTGGGCAAAACTCATTTGACAGCATATGGCGTTATAAATTTTCTCGTTGTTTATATCATAAAACCCAAAGTCTATTATTAAGGTTTTCCGTTGAGAGAGACAATATTTGATTAATCCTTAAAACTATTTATTATTTGAACAAACCATGGTCTAGAATGTATAGCTAGCGTCACCTTGTAAGTTAAATTAATATTTAATAAAAAACCAATATAACAAATTTGGGTTATTGTGAAAACACCCCTTCTTAAGGCCTTTATTAACCCCTATACAGGTGTCAGGTGGGTAAGAAAAAAAAAAAAGGTCCCCAGATTAAACACAAATCCATGCCTGTAGCCAAGACTTTACATTCAAAACTAAAATTGACTCTAATGGGAGGAGGAGGAGGAGAGTGCCTTGTTAAGCACGCCCTTTTGCCATAATTACATGCTTGTTACAAAGAGTCTAAACTCTTTTCTAGAACATTGTGACTTGTGAGAGAGACCAAAGTTTCCATTTTTCTATATTCACCAACAATAGGTATGATGTCATTAGCCATCTTTTCTTTAATTTCTTGCTCTTTCAATTTGTTATCCTTCCTCCATATCCGGAACGAATTAAACTATTATGGCTTTCTTTTTTGTCTAGAAACAAGACATATTGGTTAAACTCACCATAACTTTTCTCTTAAATAAAAATTGTAGAAAAAACGCCAAGAATTATAGAAAAACACAGAAATTGCAAATAAATAATAAAATATAAAGGAAAATTTATACATTGTAGAAAATAGAAAAATGTAAAATACATTGAAAACTATAACAAAACACTAAAAACGCAAAAAAAAATGAAAACTGAAAAGACCCTTTTCCTCTGACTCGCTATTCAAGGATAATTTAGTTATGAAAATTGTTATTTATGCTGACATGAACACCTCTTAAGAAGCATTAATGATGCATTAATGGAAGGTAAGTTTTGGAAAATAAAAACTTACCGACATGGTGAATTTTAGACATTTTGAAAAATTGTGAATTTAAGAGAGATGCTAAAAACTTATAATAAATTTTAAACAATTTCCCAAAAAAAGTAGTTTCTAATGATCTTATCAGATCGAGCTGCTGAAACAAAATGGAACGTTCAGATAAATAAAGAAAATAAGTTTGACTTTGGGACTTTGCTGAATTTGTTACATTATCTCAATATCGGATATGAATTAAATGCAATTAACCAGATAGGATGATCCAAAACTGAATTTTCCTACTATTTATGGGCGCAACCCAGAGAATATTCCGGTTTGCTTTTTTGGTTTCTTTTCTTTTCAACTCTCTCTCAGTCTCTCTCTTTCTTTTTGTCTATGTTCAATGTTCAATGCCAAGTCTTTCTAAGGATGATGATGATGGCCTCATCTTTTATAATTATTGACCTCCAGGCCTCAGCCCACCACAAGAAGTCAAGAGCTTTTTTTTTTCTTGGGTCAAGTTGTAAACTTGTAATATTTCCTGTCCCAATACGAAACGATCCTCTCCCTTTCATAAAATACCCATCCATATCCTACCCGAAATTTTAAGTGCTGGGTCTGGGTGGGTAAAACCCATCTCCCTTATGACAGCCCGACCCATTTGGAATATGGTTATCGAAGCGGTGGATTTATGGATCATTGAAGCAGAAAGTTTGCAATCAATCAAGCAAGGAACCTTGAAGAGCTGCTGTTTTATGAGATCTTGACACGTCTATAGTGGTGTAGATTCAATAATGTTATTGGTTGTGTGTATGTGTATGACAGTGATGAATGGCGATTGCTACTGAAAACGAAATAAATCAAATAAATGTAATTTTTTTTTTTTTCCAATCAGACAATCACTACACAAAAGGTAACTCGACTGCTAATAATGCTATTCTACGCAGCAGCTATTTTAAATTACTTTTTATCTCCATCCTACTCTACCTTTTATTATTTTCCAGCAGCAGATTCCAGACAAAAGGCCTCATCAATGACTAACTATGAGGGCCATCGGGCCATTACCTCCGATTAAGTGACTCTTTTACGAGAATCGAGATAAATGAAAATTATTAGAATTTTGGTGTAGTAATTAAATAGAGTAATCATTATAATAAATATTTTACATTAGTTACAATTTTTTAAAATTAATTTTATTACATTAATAATTAAATTGTGTTATTTTCCAGAAAAAATTACTAGAAATCAATGAATACACAAAATTTTTAACCAATAAATTCTTTATAAATGTCATTTAATATTAGTTAAAAATTATAAATTTGAAAAATAAAGTCAACAATTATAGCTCCAGGAAAGAGTTGGTGGAGTTTGCAATTTGGCAAACAAAATCATAATTTTGGAGAAGAAAATAAAAAAATATATTAATGTATTTTTGGAAAAAAAATTTTAAGTGTAGTAAATAATTATTAAAAATTATTGGAATATTTTGAAAATTTTATTACATTATATAGAT